TTTGGCCAAATGTGCAGATATATAATAACTTACCTCATTTTATTACCTTCATAACTTATTGGTTTCTTCTTTAATCACTAAACTCGTATCATTATTTGAAACGCTAACATCACTTCAAAATAATCCAATCCGTGCATTGCACGGGCAACAAACTAGTAATTAATAAAACCCACTTCCCAACTTGGATGTTTGTTAATTGTTTTGGAGCCCTAACCCAACTCTCATTACATCTGGACCTTACACGTGTCCATCAAAACGACCCTTCAGTATTATGATGGCGGTGATTCACATAATAAACTTCTCCTTTATTATCCATCTATAAAAAAGGCTTTATTCAATTGTTTATTTTCTTTACTCTGATTCTTTCATTCTCATCCCCTCTNGCGTGGAGGAAGAAGAGGAGGCTGTCGTACCAGCTCAATACATACGTGCGGTATATACATATATGCGTTTATATGTTATGTGTTAATATGATGAGGAAATTATAAGATACTATTCGATGCAAAATCATGAAATTCCTTGAATTTTATTAACCCTGGCTGGATCAATCACTCAATCTCCACCTTTAGGTACCTAAAATTTGAATGGCTCCTCTGTTTTTATATTCGAGTCAATACATTAATCTGGGAAAAGTTTGACAGTTTGTTTTGATCGTAAGTCGATTTAGTTTCTGTTTTAGCTTTGAATAATTGTGTTTTTGTTTCAATTATTATTTCTTTGGTTGGTACCGATTATTATTTCTACTTAATTTTGGTTGATTTTTCCGTGTTATTGCAAAATAAAGTTTCATTTTTAATTGAGTTATTCACGTATTCAGTTAGGTTTCTGAACTGCGATTTTGTTTTTTTCTATTCTTGTTTATGTTGATACGGTATGTTTTCTTTCTTGTTCTTTCATTATAATCAACAAATTCTGGTAATATGTTTGTTTTTTCTATTCTTGTTTATGTTGAAACGGTAGGTTTTCTTTCTTGTTCTTTAATTATAATTAACAAATTCTGGTAATATGTTTGTTTAACTATTGTATGATCAGTTAGTTCTTTTATTCACGATTTTTTGTCGTGAAAATGGATATCTATAAATGAAAGGTGTTTTTACTCTATACAGGAGTGTATAAGAATGGAAAATCGAGGTCAAAAAAGAACTGAAGCAGTAGATGAATGGCCGGCTGATAAGCGTGCTTGCAGTTCATCTGAATTTAGGCCTAGTACCTCAAACTCCTCAGCCCAAACGCCAATGAGCTCATCCCACGATGCTGACATGGACACATCATCATCAACTTCTGGGTCAACTCGATCCGAGGGAGATGGCGAGAAGGACTCCATGTATGGTTCTTGTGATTCCGATAGCAGTATCCGAGACTACTATAGAAGGCGATCATGGGGCGATCAAAGCAAATTTAAGAATGTGTTGTCAAGATTGAGTGAGGAGGTGGACGAATCTGGGCAACTGGCTGCCCTCACTGAGCTTTGTGAATTGTTGTCCTTTGCTACTGATAGTTCATTATCTAGCTTAATGGCGGACTCGTTTTCTCCTATACTTGTGAAGTTGGCTAGGCAAGACAGCAATCCTGATATAATGCTCTTGACAACAAGAGCAATAACTTATTTGTGTGATGTTAATCCTCGGTCCTCAGGTTTTCTCGTTAGACATGATGCAGTTCCTGTCCTTTGTCAAAAACTAATGGTGATTGAATACTTGGACGTGGCCGAGCAAGTATGTTGCTGAAACTTTGTCCACGTGTCTATTTTATTGTACATTGTATGGGATTGAATTCTGGTTAACAAATTTAACTTTTGATTGTTGTTTTTTTTTACCTAATCTAGTGTTTGCAAGCATTAGAGAAAATTTCTCGTGAACAACCCCTTGCTTGCTTGCAATCTGGTGCAGTCATGGCTGTTCTAAATTATATCGATTTCTTTTCCACAAGTATGCAGGTATTTTCATATATCAAATCTGTTTACTACAATAGATATGGCGTGCATTTATATGGTGTCATGATGTTTGATACTCACACCCAGTCGCCTTTTTCCCACCTTTTATCCTTATTAGAGGGTCGCGCTTTCGACTGTGGTTAATATATGCAAGATAACCACTTCCGAGTCTCTTTCGCCTTTCATGGAAGCCATTCCTATTTTGTGTAATCTTCTTCAGTACGAGGACAAACAGGTATTTTTCGTATAGAGAACCTTTGAATAACTTCTGTCAATAAAAGCATTTTTGTTAACATCATCTGACTGTCATGGTCATCTGTACATTTTCTTTCAGCTAGTTGAAAGTGTGGTCACTTGCTTGATTAAGATAGGGGAACAAGTTTGTCATTCATCAGATATGCTGGATGAAGTTTGTCGACACGGGCTGATTCAGCAAGCTTTGCATCTCATAGACTTGAATAGTCGTACTACCCTTGGTCAACCAATATATGTTGTAAGCTGATCTTTATTATCGATCTCCATCAAAGTTTGAAGCATCTGGCCCCTCTCAGAGAATGTGGTTTTGGTATAAGGTGTGTGTTTCAATGATTTTTTTCAGGGTTTGATAGGATTACTTGTCAAGTTGGCTTCGGGCTCTGCTGTTGCTTTCAGGACACTTCTTGAGCTTAATATAAGCAGCATTATAAAGGACATTCTGTCCACATATGACCTCTCTCACCATGGAATGCTGTCTACTTCTGTAGTGGATGGTCATTGCAGTCAGGTCACTGGTGCTATTACTCTCTTACTTGAACTCACACAATCCCCCAGCAACACAGAGCACTCATTCTCCCGCACTAATGCATACAAAATATTTTGTACAATTTGATCTAGAAATTTATGTTTCTTCAATTTGATCTAGAAATTTATATTTCTTAGGTATAGCAGGACATAATATCTTCCTTTTTTGGGTCTTTAGATAAAAATGCCAGTAAAATTTTGTGTTGCACTCTAGTAGTTTTCAACTGGACTTACAAGCAGAAAATAGCTTTAAGAATATAAGAGTGATTTTGAAGGAGTTGAATATTTGAGGAAAGTTGATGTTGAGCCATCATCTCCTATAAACTGAAAGTTTCAACAATGTGTAGAGTTTTAAGACCAATAGATCAGATGTTTTTAATTTTTACAGATAATTATTTGTTCGAAATATTGAAGCTTTTGCGTTTACTGCATGAGGTACAATATAATATGATAGGTTGAATATACAATTTGTTAATCACATGCGCGCGCGCGTGCGCACACACATATATTTTTTAATAATTTTATGTTCATGCTTGTAGCTATTTTGCTATATATATATTTATTTATTTTTTAATAATTTTATGTTCATGCTTGTAGCTATTTTGCTTCAGTATCTTTCTCAAGAAATTATAAACTATAGATCCACACATTAAATCATTTGTCACTGTAAGCATGTAAATCTTCCTGCTGGTTTCCTCCTCAGATGCATGGAGTATTGAAGTTGTTGAATGAGCTTCTCCCCACAATAACCAGAGAACAGGATATTGAAGTTCATCTATCGTCAGACAAGGAAGCTTTTCTTATGGAGCGACCTGATATAGTTGAGAAGTTTGGAATTGATTTGCTTCCTGTTTTGATTCAGGTTAGTTTTCTGGCACATGCTTGTTTAACCCTTTTTTATTTCCTTCCCTTTCCTCAACAGTTATTATTTGTTCATGTCATCCTCGAGTAGGTGTTGCATTCTGGTGTGGATGTGTATATATGTTATGGTTGTCTATCTATAATCGGCAAGTTAGTTTCTTTGAGCAAATCTGACGTCCTTCTTACTCTACTGCAAACTGCCAACTTTTCAAGGTGAAAGGAGGTTTTTCTTCTTCACACAATTTAGTCATCTGCTGATAAGTTTCTCTTTCTAAATGCTTGCAATTGCTTGTGTGTGTCATGACAGCTTTTTGGCTGGAGTTTTTATGAGGAAGGATCCTCACGTGATCCTTTTAGCCCTTCAGATTGTCGATACAGTTCTGCTGAAGCTCCCTCATGTTTTCTTGAAAGCCTTTACCAAGGAAGGTGTCCTTTTCACTATTTATGGTCTATTTTCACCAGACAAGTGTTCGCAGTTCACGTCTTCCGTGTTTGATGGAAGGAGGTTTGCAAAAGATGAAAGTAAAAAATCTGCTCCACCTGATGTCCAAAGGTGCCCATGTTTTACTTTTGATGCTCTGGTCATTCTTCAAAGTCTCCTGAAACAGGTTCTTGCAAGCTTCAGAAAGATGCCGTTCAAAATCTTGCAAAGCATGTATGGAACAATCACTTTTCAGTGGAATCACCAAACCCAGAGAAAGTAGTCACCAATATTCTTCAGAAGCTCAGGTCCTTATCAACTGCATTAACAGCCATGTTAAGTAAATCCGTGAATGATGTAGCTCCCACACAAGAGGAAGATGAAATATACAATTTACTGCATCAAATTATGTTAGATCTCAATGGTAAAGATCCCATTTCCACTTTTGAGTTTGTTGAGAGTGGAATCGTGAAGGCACTAGTTAATTACCTAACAAATGGCCAGCATCTGGGGGGTAAGGCAGATAATGGTGCAGTTGATCAACTGTATCTTATAGAAAAAAGATGTGAGGTGTTTGGAAGATTATTGTTGTCCTTCTCTGATCCATCTTTGGAGGAATTCCCACTTTTGACACTAGTGCGAAGATTACAAAGTGCACTATCTTCTAGTGAAAGTTTCCCCGTCATCTTGAGCCATACGGCTAGACTGAGGAACTCATATGCCACTGTTCCATATGGGCGTTGCACTTCATACCCATGTCTCAAAATACAGTTTGTGAAAGAAGAAGGGGACATTGTTCTGCGTGATTATACTGAAAGTGTTTTGAATGTTGACCCCTTTGTACCTTTGGATGCTATTGAAAGATATTTGTGGCCGAAACTGAATCCTAGGAAAACAGAGGATCTAAAATCCAGATCTCGTGCTTTGAAGGAGAAAGGAAGCTCGAGTTCTCATTCTCTGTCTGATTCACCGTTGTCTTCACCTGAAGGAACATCCAGTTTTGAACTGAGAACTGTGACCTCAGGAGAATTAACTGATTTTCATACAGTGAGTTGATTTCTTCTTTTGATTATATCTAGTATATGCAAGCTTATTCCTTAGATATGCGGCTTATCAGTTGATTCCTCCCCCTTACTCCTTTTGTATTGCTAGCCACTTGACAAATTGTTTATGTGTATTATTGTCTATTGAATTCCCTTTTCCCCTCAACTGTCTGTTCATATTAATCCGGTGGCCTTTTCTTCTCTTGCCTTAAAATATTACCTTACTTTGTTTCAATTTGATTTTGTACAAGGAATCTGTAGAGAAAGAACAGCATTGTCCTCTTGAAGAGGATGGGAGTACAAATACAGATCATCCAGGACAGTTTGATAAAGAAGATGTTTCACCGAAGTTGTTATTCTACTTAGAAGGGAAGCAACTGGATTTCACATTGTCACTGTATCAATCAATACTCAAACGACAGCTTGAAGTGGAACTTGATAACATCACAAGTGCAAAATTGTGGAATCATGTATATAAAATAACATATAGAAGAGCTGTGAAATCCAAAAAAAGTTATGATGAACATCATCATAATGTGGCTCAATCTTCTTTGTCTAGAAGAGTCTCAGTCTGTAATTGCACTCCGTTTTTCTCTGGCATGCTTGTTCCAGAAGTTGATGTGGAAAGATCCAGTGCGGCTTGTGATGTATTGTCCCTTCTTAAAAGTTTGGAAGGAATAAACAGGTTCAGGTTCCATCTGATGTGTTGTGAAAGAATATCGGCTTTTGCTGAAGGAAGAACTGATAACTTGGATACGTTAAATGTAGCAGTTCATGGTGTATCCCAAAATGAATTTGTGAACAGTAAGTTGACAGAAAAACTAGAACAGCAGATTCGGGATCCTATGGCTGTCTCTGTTGGTGGCATGCCATCATGGTGTACACAATTAATGACATGGTATCCTTTTTTATTTGGTTTTGAAGCAAGATGCAAGTATTTCCGTCTGGCAGCATTAGGTCGATCGCCAGTTCACACTCAATCAATGTCTCATAGTAACACGAGAGTTTCAAGTGGTAGGCAGCATAATAATGGAAACTTTCCTCGTAAGAAGTTTTTAGTTCATCGGGATAAGATTCTGGACTCTGCTGCCAAGATGATGGACCTTTATGCCCATCAAAAGGTTGTCCTGGAGGTGGAATATAACGAAGAGGTGGGTACTGGCCTTGGTCCAACATTGGAATTCTATACAATGGTTTGTCATGAGTTTCAGAAAAGTGGCTTGGGTATGTGGAGAGATGACCACATTTCACTTGAATGCATGAAAAGCTCGGAGGCTGAGGATTCTAAATTTTTGGTGTCTCATTTTGGACTGTTCCCTCGTCCTTGGTCACCTTCATTGAGTATGTCAAGCGGCATAGAGTTTTCAGAAGTGATTAAAAAATTTGTTCTTTTGGGTCAGATTGTTGCAAAAGCTCTTCAAGATGGAAGGGTTTTAGATCTTCCCTTCTCGAAGGCATTCCATAAACTCATTCTGGGGAAGGTACGTGGCCTTTGTCATTGACTGGGTGCTCTTTTGTTATTTTTTGCTATCTGTGTTCCCATCTTATTGCACACATTATGTTTTGTGCAGGAACTTACAATGTATGACATCCAGTTGTTTGATCCCGGATTGGGTAGGGCTCTCTTAATGCAATCTCCCCAAAATTGGTGAGGTAGACTGGCCTGAAACTTGAGAGCCCTGGCAATATTGAGAAGGTGTTGATGTTTTCGCTCAAGTACCCCGTTTTGCTGTGGTGTCTCCACATAACTCAGTTGATGAATGATGCCTTTATCACGATAAAAATCAGGCATGATGAACTCTAATCCGTTGTCAGGTCGAAGGTTTTTAATATTACATTGAAAGTATGTTAAAACCAAATGGTAGAAGGACTGGATAATAGATTTAGTTTGGGACTTCTCACATAAGAGATAAGTCCAGGTCATTGTGCTGTAATCATCGACAATCATTAGGAAGTATTTTGATCCATCTAAAGAAGGGACTGAATACGGCCCCCAGATATCGCAATGAATGAGATCAAAGATTTTAGATGATTTTGTCTCACCATTGGGAAATGAAAGTCTGTGTTGTTTGGCTAAGGGGCAAATCGAGCAATGTAAATGCTTATTAAAAGTAATATTTGGAACAACTCTATGTATGGAAGATAATTTTGAGATAGGTAAATGCCCTAAACGGCAATACCAGACATCAATCTTGTTTTGAATAGCAATATTGTCAATAGAATTACAAACAATAGATGTAGAATTATTACATTTCAAATGTAAACTAATATTGGAAGAAACAACAGGAATGGAAGAGAATTGTTAGTGAAGAGGGCAGACTCTTGAAGGTTGTAAAGCTCATTCTTAAGTTTGCCTATCCCAATCATCTTTCATGTTGAAAGATCCTGAATAAAACAATGATTACGAATGAATATGATGAAGCAATTGTGTTGAAGTATCAATTTGCTAGCAGATATCAAGTTGAATTGAAAAGATGGTACAACTAAAACATTTGTCAATATCAGATCATTAAACAACTTCACTGTCCCACTATGTGTAGCTGTGGTAATGGAACCATCCGATAGTCTCACAGAGGCATTAATTTTTGCATTCATAGTAATCATGTGTTTGATAGAACAAACGATATGCTCTGAAGCTCATGTGTCCAATATCCATTTTTCTGCAGATATGGAATCATGATGAAGCAATTGTGTTGAAGTATCAATTTGCTAGCAGAGATCAAGTTGAATTGAAAAGATGATACAACTAAGACATTTGTCAATATCAGATCATTAAACAACTTCACTGTCCCAATATGTGTAGCTGTGGTAATGGAACCATCTGGTAGTCTCACAGAGGCATTAGCTTTTGCATTCATAGTAATCAGGTGTTTGATAGAACAAACCATATGCTCTGAAGCTCATGTGTCCAATATCCATTTTTCTGTAGCTATGGAATCATTAAGACACATACGATTACCTAAGAAAGCAAAGGCTTTTGGTACGTGAGGTGATGATGAAATCACTTGCCGTTGACTACCAGTAGATATTTGTTCCCTTAGATGTGGGCAAGCATGGCTAAGATCTGTTGACACTACCCTGGAGTGATGGTAAGGTTTGATAATGGATTCACAATATCAGCTTTAGAATTGTGAGTTGCTAAACCAACTGCATTAGCAACTGGATCCTTTCTTTTTGCTAGCCTATGACCAGGGGGATAGCCAATTATTTTGTAGCATTTCCACAGTAATTGCATATAGTCTTGTCCTTCCTCTGTGGCTGATTAAACGAGTGAGTCATATGATGGGTAAATGAGTTTGGAATCATTCTACCAGCAAAGGTAGCAGCATCAAAATTCTGCTGTTTCTTAGCAACTACTTTCTTCTGTCCTTCATCTTGTAAAATTAGAGCAAAAACTTTATTGTTTGGGGAAGTGGATCCATCAGTAAGATCTGACTCCTCGTGTTTGAAAATTGATCATCTAATCCCATAAAAAACTGCATGACCTGATCCTCAAATTTGTAATCAACCTTATTAACACTAGGTCTATAGTTTTCAAGTTCTTCCCAAAGTCCTTTCAATCTATTAAAATATGAATTTACAGAACTGTTTGTCTAAGAAATAGAAGCAATTTGCTTCTTAAATTCATATATTATGGGGCCATTACCTTGGCTGTATCGATCTTTCAACTCGATCCAGATCTGTCTTGTCTTGTTGAGTTTTTGTGCATCACACTTATGTATAATTATTTTGGAATTGAATTAATAATCCATGAAGAAACCACATGGTTACATCTCCTCCAAGCACGATAAAGAACATCCTCTTGAGGCGGATCTAAAATTGATCCATCAATAAACCCTTCCTTGTTCTTCACACTCAGCGTCATGATGGCAGCACGGCTCCATGTTGCATAATTATCATCAGCGAGCGTAACTGAAATGAGCTGCATTCCAGTGTTATCACCGTAATGTAGGTAGTATGGACTATTAGGATCGTTGATCAATCTATTCATCACTGAAATCACATTTTCAGTAGATGTTTCTCCAGTAATTCGATCGATTGGAGAGTTAACATCGATCTCTGCTTGAACGTCAGAATCCTTCGCCATTAGCGTGTGGAAGCTTCAATGCTCTGATACCATGTCAAAATGTAGAGAGAAGAAATGGAAGAGAAAAGAAGATGGCGGGAAAATCTGTTTCATTCACTTTAATTAACCGAAGTATACCAGTTGGCTATATATATACATTGACGCCTATAACAGAATGAAGATGGAATGTACAAAGACTAAATTAACCCTATGATACACAATGTAATTCAACACAACTCAATAAAAGAGTTGAAAAGCAGAAGAAATAGCAAAAAAAAAAAATTACACTATCTACTGGTCTTAATATCGATTATTCCCTCAAAATAGAACGTAATCATTGAGCAAACCCGCTCGAGACAAGCATGCCCACCCAATTGCCTGGACTTTATACTGCACAGAACTTGTGCTGGCCAAAGGCCCATTGAATGGACTTGTTAAGGGGACACGTTTTGTGTGATATAGATTCTTAGGCCCACTGGGCCTAGTTTCTGTCACCAGCAATGCTCACTGTGTACTACAAACTTGAGGCATATTGTCAACCGTCAGATCATGCTAAACCAACGGTGGATTTGAAAGTTGCGTTTGATTGCCAGAATGAAAAATGTGTTTTTTCCTTCTAAATTCTAACTTTTGTGCTGTTTCATTGACTTTTTTTCCGTGAAAAATATTTTACTACTTTCAGTCACGTGACCATATTTTCCTCAAAATTAAGGAAAATATTTTCTTTAAGATGAGTAGAATTTTATTTTAAGGGAATTCACAATTTTTCTCTCTCTTATCTATTCATTCTTCCTCATCTATCCACCAATAAAAAATGGATAAATATAATATTTTTAAAGTTGAAAATTAAATCAATTAAATAGACTTAATTAATAATTTTTATCCAAATAAATTTTAGATAATTTAATTTTTTTTCACACTTAAATTTCATACTCGTAATCACACCTAACTACCACCACTTTTAACACGTGTAGGGACCATTGATTTTTTGGAAGAATATGTAATTAAAAAGTAAAAATTACGTGTACAATATTTTATTATGTGAATGTGATTAAAAAAAAGTATGATAATTAAACTTTTTTTTATTATAAATGGAGATAAATAGGGGAAAAAGATAAACATGTTATGTAAGCGACGACAATGACTTGATCTATTCAATCCTACAAAGAAAAGGAAATCGGAACCTCATCACCCATCTGATGTGATAAAAAGTTAGGAATAATATTTTAGAGTGGATACATGTCATATCGTTTTACTAGAATATGTACTCTCTTTATATAGTACTCTAATTAGACTCTGTTTGATTATTTTTATTTTTTATGTTCATTTTTAATCATACATTCGAAAAATAAAAATATTTTGAACGTAAATTTAAAATAAAAATTTACTTGTTAACCATACGCAAAAGATAATTTTCTCCCAATTTCTTTATATGATGAATATCAAACACGGGTTTAGAGTGATGAGACAAAAATATATGGGCACATGGGATAGGTATTTTAGGTTTTCCAGGATTTTTGATAGGATTAAAGTAGAATATGAATATTAGATTGATCATCATAGGTCCTTCCTAATGTTTAGTTAACATTGTGACTGTAACGATCGAGAAATTTTAAATAATATAAAATTATTTTATTGAAAAACGTGTCGCTAAGGTTTAACCCCAAATTTTAAAGTAAAAGTGTCTAGTCGTTGTAAAATCAGTTTAAAACTATTCAAGTCAAGTCCAATCCCGAATAATTTTAAAGTATCTTGTCATTTTAAAGTCCAATTATGTTAGTCCAGATCTTGATTTTTAGTCCAATCCACTTAAACTCAATTAAGGAAATCCTTGTAACCCAACTAATTGGCCTAATTAGTTTTCTAGAAATTTGTGCCATAAAATTCTACTGTTTCTATAACACTCATATTCCGCTCTCCTCACACTCACGCAGCCAACCAAATTTGGTAAGGAAATTTCAATTTCCCCAAAATTGTTCCTCAATCCATTTTACAGTGAATTCGCTATTGATGCTAGAACATCAATTTCTAGCATTAACAGGAAACTCTCGAACTGCAAACCATCAATAATTTCTAACACCACACGAACAGCGACTTCTCCACCCCAATCGATCGCCACACTTCACCCCAATCAACACCAAACCGCCTCCATTTTCAACCCAAAAATCTACATCAAACAACCACAAAAACCAAGAAAAGCCAAAACCCATAAACTTACCTCCTTCTCCGACCCATTTCCAGCTTGAATGCCACAAAAAAAAAAAAAAAGCCTCAGACTAACCCTCGGAAACCCCCCAATCGCCCCCACATACCCACCGTCGCGACCACGCGACGGTGGCACTGGCACCGCTTCGACCGGTGGTTGGAATCGGAGAAAGGGGGTTAAGCCGTCCCCCCCCGCCTCCCCCCCCGGTCGTTGCTCTCTCTCTCTCTCTCTGTAAAGGAAAGAGAGAGTGAAATATTAGATATTTTGTTTATTTGATTTTAGAAATTTACCCTTGAAGCCCCAACTTTAAAATTTGTTGATTTCGGTCCCTAAAGGTTCTGTTATGAATAAAACGCCCCCTGGAGTTCCTGTTTTCAACA